CTATTTCAGTGGGTTCTCATATCTGAGAACTGAGCTGTTTAGTAATGAGTGCGCTTTCCTCTGATTTCCTGATGGCTCTGCCTGATATGAGAGAAGCATATGCAAGTGTACCCCAGAAGACATTAATCCAGTAGCGCTGATGCCCTGAGGGAAGTCTCGAGCAGTGGGCTGAACTATAGGCACCATGGCCAGTGTGCTAGGGAGCCCTGAGGAATGGGACAGATAACATCTTTACCCTGAGTGGTGGTTAGAAGTCTGGCCAAGAGGCCAGGAGCCTGGAGAAAACAGAAGTGGACAATCACATGCTCTCTTCTTTGAGCCAAGACCAAATGGGAGACTTTTGTTGATACCTTCCTCTATATACAGATGTTTGTGGGGAATGCTAGTACCCCTCAGAGATATCAGATTAAAATGTGAGCTTCTTAAGAGCAAGGACCATTTTTTTGCCTTTTTTTTTGTATCCTTGATATTTAGCATGGTGCTGAGCACACAGTGGGTGCTGAATAGATGTTCATTGACTTGATTTGATTGACATCATGTGCCCTCTGTTGCCCCAAACAACCAGGTCGATGCCTTTATGAGAACAGTAGAGGTTGGGGAATAGGAGTAAGACCTATTTAGACATGGGAGCTGGTATGACATGACCAGAAGATTCTCCTAAACAAGGAAGAGGCAGCTCTTTCTGTCCATAGGCTGAATTGATGGGGGGAGGATGATTCACTTAATGATCACTTAGGGGAAGTGAAACCATCTCTGCATAACTATGGTAATTATTAATTTACCTGGAACAAAAGGAATCTTAGTTGACTTTATGGTAATTCTGAGTCCCTAGATGAAGGCCAGGGCTTATTCAGCCCCTCTGGCAAAAGTAGGTAGACCCTCAGCAGACACCTTTAAAGGGGAAAACATTTAGTATAACACCTCTCTCATAGGACACCCAGGGAGGGACAAAGAATACTGAATATTTCCTGAGTATGGGATGAGTCATGGTATGAACTTAGATAACTGGGACATAAGCTGCATGCAAAAGGCTTATGACTCCTCATCTATTTTACTACAGATGACCCTGATCCATGATAAGAATTGGTGACTATGTTGGAAGTATCATCATTTGTTTTGATTGCTCTGGGGGGCTGGTGCTGCCCCTGCTCATATTCCATTTCACCCCTTTACATCAAGAGACCCACTCTGAACTGTGAAGTTTTGGCATCACCCACCACATGGACCAGATTGTTAAGAGTTAGGACTTTATCCTTCCAAATGGGAGGAACCTGGGAAGACATGCAAACTGATGCAGAGTGAGTGAGGCGAGCTGAGCCAGGATAACAACGCCAACAATGACAATAATATTGTAAGTTCAAACAACTTTGAAAGACTTAGGAGGTATAATCAATCTAATGACCAGCAATGATTCTAGAGAACTGATAATGAAACATCTTATCCACCTCCTGAGTGAGACACAGTATAAATTAAGACATATGCACATACATATAGATATGTGTGTATATATATATATATATATATATATGTGTATTTATACACATATGCATACATATGTATACACACATATGCTTACACAATGTATACACATCTGTATCTTCAGCATGACCAATTTGATCTGGAACATGGAAATCTGATTTGCTTGATTATACATGTTTCTCTCAGGGTTATTTTTTTTCTGGCTGCCTCAGTTTGAGGGGAGGGAAGAAGAAGGAGAGAGAGAAGGTAGATTTTTGCTGATTGAAAAAATTTTTTTTTAAAAAGGTAAGGAAGCTACTCCCAAGACTTGATTAATTTGTGAGGGGGGGGTGTGTCCTATGGCTTGAGTGACTGACACAGCTTCTCGGTCATCAAAGGACACACAAAGAGACCAGAAGAGTCAGTGTTCCTCAGAATTGGTACAGCTGCTGACAAGCACTGGGAAGGATCTTTTTTATTTTTTAAATTTATTTATTTTTAGTTTTCAGCATTCACTTCCACAAGACTTTGAGTCCCAAATTTTCTCCCCTTCTCCCGCCTCCCACACCCCAAGATGGCATGCATTCTGAATACCTCTTCCCCTAATCTGCCCTCCCTTCTATCTCTCCCTCCCTCCCTTCTCTAATCCCCTTCCCCTTCTGTTTTCCTGTAGGGCAGGATAGATTTCTATACCCCATTTATACCCCATTAAGGTAGGATCTTGTTCCCTGCATATAATAGGTGCTTAAAAAATACTTGTTAACTTGTCTTGCCTCTTGAGGCATGCAATATTTGTATTATTCCCATTTTATAGAAGAGCACACTGAGGCTTGGAACAATGAAGTGGCAAGCCTATGGTAATAAGGCTAGTTAACATCAGAGGCAGGAGTCAAGCCCAGGTCTCTCCAAGTCTGATCCTCGTTTTCCTGCACCAGGGCATCATACACTGCCACAGAAACCGTCTGGGAAGCAACTTGTCAAGTTCTGTCTGCCTTGCCATGGTTTTCACCTCTGCTAGCAGTCAGTCCATCGGTCAGTCAGC